CGCGGGGCCGGCGGCGCCCCGCCCCGGCCGCCTCCTCAGCGCGAGCGCGGTCTCGGCAGCCCATGATCACCCGCGCCCCCAGGCGCAGTAGCTCCGCCGCCGTGGCGCGGCCCAGGCCGCTGTTCGCCCCGGTAATCAGCACTGTCTTCCCGTGCATGAGGCCGGGGTTCGCGCCTCCGGGCAACTGCTGGACCCTGGGTCGGGTCGCCAGCCACAGCGCCCCGCCCAGTGCAGCCAGAAGTGCCGCCGCGGTGGCCACTGCCATAGCCGCCCGCCCTGCGGCCCACCGGCCTTTGCGCGGGAGTGTGGGAGCCGCCGGCTCCGCTGAGTCCTGGCTGCCACCTGCACGCGAAGAACTCTGGGGCGCGGCCAGTCGTCCCCTGACTTGCACGAGGGGCATGCTGGGACTTGTAGTCTCCCCAGGGCACCTGATTGGTCGAGGATGCCGCGCTCTCGGTCAGTGCCCTCAAGATGCCGGCTCCCAGCCAGCTGACGGAGACTGAGCGCAAGTGAGTTTTCAAGTTGGGGTTCCCACCCACTGAAACCCCAGAGTGGTGGCGACCTTCCCCGTGGGGAAGCTGATGAATGTTTTCTTTCTTCCCCCCACTTCTTTTTTTCCTCGTCTGAGGGGCCCTGGACTCACCAGAGAGCGAGCGGGAAAATTGAGAAAGTAACCCGTCCCTCCCCTGTGTGGGTGTGTGGGGACGGTCATACCGCCATCACTACTCAGTTTCTCCTTTCAGGATTTGGGGCACACCATACACACGTGCCTGGCGTTTTTCTCAACCCACCAGGTCGGGAATCAAACTCCATGTCTCCCATGTGGGATCCAATTACCTTAATCACCACCCCTTCAGTTGCCCTCTGCTGAATGTTTTCGGTTTACAAATCTCTTTATAGGTGGGGTTCCAAATGCCACTTTTAAGGGTATTCAGTTTATTTTTCTGGGATTTATAAATTCAGTTCAATTTACATGCACCTTCTGGAGAATAGTCCCTGAGCAACTGAGGGCTAAGAAGGGCTCTTTTTCCTTCACAGATGAGATACAAAATGTGGCAACATAAATAAATTGGAAATAGCATGAGCCATTAGTTCTTAAATGTTAGTGTACTTCAGAATCACTTGGAGTGCTTGGTGGGAAATCAAACAAAAAGAAAACAGAAATTTCAGGGCCTAGTGATTCAGTAGGTCCAGATGGGGCCTGAGAATCTTAATAAGTTCTGAGGTGATGCTGATCTTGTTGATCCATGGACCACAGACTGAGAACCACTGAAGAAGACCATTATGGCCTAGTTCCCTTTAGATTAAAAAAAAAAAAATCATCAATGAGGTTGACACTGCTAGATACAGTGGGAGAAACCTCAATTATTATAAACTGAGCAGGCCCATTCACAAAGTTCTATCTGCCCTCTCTGTTGTACTCCATGTAACAATGGAGGGCAAAAAGCTTTGTGCACTGTAAAATACTTCATAAATGTCAGGGGTTAGAGCCACAGGGACCTCTTCAAGCTGTAAACTTCATAGCTTTAGGCTACACCACTTTTTAAGATGCCATTTATTTGTCTATTCACCCAGTATGTGTCAGGCCCTGCCTATGCCCTGTGAGAGTCACAGAGAAATAGAATGCCATTTCTACCCTCAGAGCATTTGTTGTCTGGTACAGAGATCCACCCACACTCCACCTACACTCTATCCATTTCAGATTCTGTAGGACAAGAAAAGAGACACAACTTGTGTGATTTGAAATAAACTCCCAAATAATTCTTTTTTTAAAGAATTAATTTATTGAACTTTATTCACTTAAATTTGACCAGAGAGGTACAGAGGGAGAGAGAGAAAGTGAGAAGGCAAGCCATCAGGTCCAGGACTCAAACTGCATCTGCCATGTGGGAGTCCAGCACCCTTAACCACTATACAACCTCCCCCCCAAATAATTCTTAAAAGAAAGAAAAGAATGAAAGAAAGAGAAACCCTTTAGATAATTTTGATAGACCATCATCTCTTTCTTACATTTTGGGAGGATATATCATGCAACTGATAGTCATTACATAAAGAGAAAAGGGCTAGATTCCAAGAAACAGTTTCTTAGAAGTGCTGAGAATGGAGCTGAGGGTGAAAAAGTATGATCACTGGGGATTAGACCAGGCACCAGGAACAGGAATCATGAGAGGTGTCCCTTGACTACTTTATCGCCATTGAAGTTGCCACTCAGACTCAGTACATGTTTCCCCATTCTCTTCTTTTCTACCCATTCACATATTATCTGTTCTTTAAAGCCCATCTCAGGTCTCTTTTCTGATCACTTCCAGCTTCTGCTGATTTCCACTTCCTCAGACTCATGTGTGATCTCATGAGCACCAAGGACAAAAGTCCCCTCTGGTATTTGTTATTTGAGTTCTCAGATTTGACTTCCCCTGATAGATTGTTAAAGCTTTCATTTTCATAAAGGATGGGATTATATCTGAGTCCCTCTTGTCATTTTTTACATAAGAGAATGTCTAGAAAACAGTGAGCCCTCAGTAAGTGTCGCAGATGATACATTGTAAACTGGCTTACTATAAATTACAGAGGAGTTAAAAGATGTCAGCTGTGGTCTTCTGTCAAGATCCAGGGGTGTAATATGTATGTGCAAGGGATGGAGGTGGGGGTAGAGAGAGCAGAAGAAGGTGCAAGAAAGGGAGGAGACAAATCTGTAGACTTGCTTGTAACTTCTGTATACCTTGTGCATGGAACTTTATGGAATGACTAATCTGTTCTGATGAATCCAAGGGCCAATGGAATTAGTAGCTAATTGAGGGCTCTATAACAGAGAAGAAAAGGACAGCATATAACTTTTGAAGAAAGAGCTATTGGGTTGTTGATGACCCCAAGAATTTTAATCTTAGTCCTATCATGTATTCCACATTCTTTGGTAAGTAATTTAATCTTAAGGTCCTTATTGATAGGATGGTAGTAACAATATGTCATAGGTATTACATTTGATAAGAAAATGAGGTGACATGTGAAAATAACCTGTCCACAGTACGTAATGTGATATATTATGGTTAATAATCAATTTTTTTGTTGAAAACAAAGCAAAAATGACAACAGAATGACAATAAGAATACTTACTATGCTTTACGCCACATATTGAAGTCATGGTCAAGTTTTGTGGTTGTTTTTTCCCCACACAAATATTGGGCAAACCTGCCAGGCCCAATGCCAAAGATATCAAGTATGAAGTAGCTTTGCAGTCCAGAGCAATTTACCTACCACATGAGTTCCCAAGAACCCTTCCTAGTAAGTTCTGACCAGAGCTCATCTTAGAAAGTACTCTATAGGAATAACTAGCTGATTTATTTCTGAATGAGCAGTGTCAAAACTGGTATGCTTGCTCCTGCAGGTAGAATGACATTCTCACTATGCATTTGCTAAAAAGTTGCTCATAGAGGCAACAGAATAAAAAGGTTTAATTTTCAAGAATATATTTAACCTTGCCCATTCTATCTTTGAAGATTAGTATTCTAGAATGATGATGGGTACCCATTAATTCTATCTACCAACATCCAAAAATGACCAATGCTTTGTAAATCTAAGTGCATATCCTCTTATGCATACAACCATTCAAATTCTAAACTTATTCCTTGGATTTGTCATTATGCCTTACACAGAGTTAGCTGCAGTGGCATTCAGTAGCATTGAAAGGACAAAAAGAAGTAACTTGAAGATACCTTGAGAGTTCAATATATGTTCCAAAAAAAATCAAGCAAAAACCTTTCCAAAGGAGCTAAGTTCTGAGGCTCAGTGTTCTGAAATGCCTTCTGAAATGCCAATATTTACCCTAGGAGTTAAAAGAAGTGGCTTTTGTAATACCAGACTCACTGCTTTATTTCTTCTCCCCATCCCTAAGGGTTGATTTTTTGATTAATGCCATAAGGTACATGTGCTGTGATGGTTCCGAATTTCTGTGCCCCTTCAATGTGGAACATGTGGTCATCAAAGAAAATGTGGGGTCGGATCTTCACCAAGATAGGACCTTTGGGAGCTCCAGCAAGGAAAAGTGCTTCATCTATTTCTAGACCCCAGCGACGAAGGGTCTTCAGCACTCGGGCTCCTGAACTAGCTGCACTCCTGGCTGTAACCAGGTAGGTCCTGATAGGACAAAGTAACCGTTCATCTTTGGCATAAAACTTCTTTTGCAGTCTGCCTAAATCTTCCAGAAAGCCTTTCAAGGGACCCTATAAAAAGAACATATGGCACAGCTGTGATCCAGTGAGCCAAAGGAAATGTAAGTGGAAAAAGCAGAGGCTTACAATAGCTTGAAAAGGATATAGAAAACTGCATTACATACAGTGTTATGAGGTTGATAGCACTCAAAGTACTCACTTCATTTAGTTTATATAAATGTATTTCCTGATATGCAACAATCTTTGTATTCTTGAAATAAACCTAGAATGACATATAATTTATCATCTAAACCTAAATAATTTAAGTATGGAATAATGTTATATAAACAATTAAACTAGCACAACAGACATAAAATATCCATGATAAACTGGGATAGATGGTCACTACACCTAAACTCCCATTAGTTTCCAAAAGCAGTATTTTTTTTTTTTTTTGAGAGGTTTTTGCTATAGGGTGCGTGCGCTCGCCAGACAGACAGAGACATAGAGACAGAAAGCGAGAAATCACCCCCCAGGGGATGGTCACTCTGCAATCCCTTCTCCATTCTCTTCTCGAGATCTTCGGCATGCACGCATATGCACCTGGCGCGAGTTTTAAGTCACCGGGTCCGGGACGCGAACTGTGGTCGACCACATGGGAGTCCAGCGACATAGCCATTACGCTACCTCAAAAGCAGTATTTTTTTCACCTTTTTCTTGTGAATTGCATATTTTAACTTTAAAAGTATACATTTTTGTTGAGCTCAAGGCTGTTTTGGCATGAATCCAAACTTATATTTACAGATGTTTTATATATCTTCACAAGTACTTTCATTTTCAACTTTCTGAACACTTACTAGTTTTAGCTGTATCACTCACATAGAGCATAGAATTGAATTTTGCCTGTGATACAGTCCAAAAGTCTTAGTTTCTAAAACAAATTTTTATTTTATTTTATTTTATTTTCTTATTTTTTTACATTCAATCACTGTATATCTTTACAACATTGAAAATGAATTTTCCTAGCATGAATATCCTGAATGTTAGTCCAGTCAAAGAAATTACCATACACATTGTTATCAACAGATAATTTTTCTTTTTTTTTTTTTTGTCTATTTAATGTTTTTATTTTTTCTCCCCCCCCCCCACCACCACTTCTGGCTTTCTTCTCATACTGTCTCTGGTATCCGTAGTTACTTTCCATTGCCATTGTGCCTTTTAGTCTTTCAGTTTCTGCCATAGAGTGCAGACATTCTATATATATTGGATCATCAGAAAAGTCATGATTATTTTTCTATGCAAAAATGTGTCATGACTTTTCCAATAACCCAGTATTAAGTGGAGACATATAATGTTTCACCTTCATAATCTGGTTTGCTTTGTTAGCATTAAGTCTTTCATATACGTCCACTTCCTATCTGATGGTAAGGTCTCATTGTTTTTTATGGCTTAGTAGTATTCCATAGTGTACATATGCCGCACTTTTAAAATCCATTCATCTGTTCTTGGACATTTGGGTTGATTCCATGTCTTAGCAATTGTGAATAATTCTGTAATAAACATTGATGTGAAAGTGCTTCTCTGATTGCATGTATTCCTATGCTTTGGGTAGCTACCCAGAAAAAGAAACTAAGAATAAAAAAATTCACTGAAGCTACTGATAATGAACACACAAGTTTTTATAACCTATGGAACACAGCAGAAGTAGTCATAAGGAGTAAATTCATAGCAATTAGTGCTCACAATAAAAAGTTGAAAAGTGGCAAACAGACAACGTAATGACACACCTTAGGGAACTGGAAAAACAAAAACAAACAAAAATATCCCAAAATACTATGAGAAAAGAAATAGTAAACATTTGAGGAGAGATAAATGAACTACTATACAAAAAATAAATGAAACTAAAAGCTTGTTCTTTGAGAAGGTAGAAAAAATTAACACACCATTAGCTAGACTGATTAAGAATAGAGAAAAGAACCAGATAAATCTAATCAGCAATGAAGCAAGCAATATTACAGCAGACATAACAGAAATACAAAAGATTATCAGCGAATACTGTGAATGACTATATGCCAACAAACAAGAAAACCTGGATGAGATGGACGAATTTCTGGACACATATAATCTATCAAGATTGAATCATGAAGACATAGAATGCCTAAATAGACACATGACAAGCAATGTGATTGAATCAGTAGTAAATAACCTCCCAACAAAGGAAAGCCCAGGTCCTGATGGCTTCATTCCTGAATTCTGCAAAACTTTTAAAGAAGAGCTGACCTCTGTTCTACTCAAACTATTTCTAAAGATCCAAAATGTAGAAACTTTCCCAAATTCATTATAGAAAGTCTCCAATCACTCTGATCCCCAAAACACAAAAGGACATAACAAAAAAGGAAAACTACATACCAAGATCTGTGATGAATATAGATGCAAAAATTATCAACAAGATACTAGCAAATCATATCCAACGACACATTGGAAAGATTATACACCACAATCAGGTAGGCTTTATTCCAGTGATGAAAGGGTGGTTTAACATACACAAAGCCATAAAGGTAATACATCCTATTAACAGAAGGAAAGATAAAAACCATATGGTCGTATCAATTGATGCAGAAAAAGCATTTGATATAATACAATGTCCCTTCATGATTAAAAATCAGCAAAGAAGGGACATTTCACAACACTATAACTAACATTATACTGAGTGGGGGAAAAGCTAAAAGCTTTTCCACTAAAAACTGGTGCAAGACAAGGCTGCCCACTTTCTCCACTCCTTTTCAATATAGTACTGCAAGTCCTAGCCTATGCAATCAGAAAAGATAATAAAATTAAAGGCATTGAAATAGAGAAAGAAAAGGTTAAATTATCTCTAGGTGTAGATGACATGCTTATATTCATAGAAAACCAAGAAGAATCCACAAAACAAAACTGGAAGTGATAATATGGTAAAAAGTGGCAGGATACAAAATCAACTTTACAAAAAGCTATAGTATTTCTGTATACAACAATGAGCAGACTGAGGTAGAATTGAAGAAAGTAATCCCATTTACAATAGCCACAAAAAGTATAAGATAAAATAATAGTTTGAAAAGCTTTTAGTCCATTTACATTTGTTCATTTTTTGTGTACTTGATATTAGTTTTGTCTTATGGTTTTTATTTCATTTTCCATGTTTAAAGATTTTAAAAGATTGTTTATTAATATGTCTTCTTTGTGTGTTTGGATATGTAGATCTTCTGACATTTAAGGCTTGCAGTATTTCTTTCTACTGATTATAACGCATTATAGTACCCCCAGTCCTTTATTTTTTAAAACCGTGGCTCTATTACTTATAATAAGAAATAAAATTAGGTATTTCTTTAATATCTCTATGACTCCCTATTTCTTCACCATCTAATTTTGTTGACTCATTTAATTTTTAAGGTGTTTATATTTACATTATTCAGTATTCCTACACTTCTATTTATTAAACTTGCCTCTTATCCCTTAAATGGCTATGGTAACTGAAGATATCAGCCAATTTATTCTTCCATAGACTCTCATCCCCCCATATTTTTCCATTTTTCATAAGTTATATAATCTACATATTGTTAAGATGCATACTATTTGCCTTGTTTTCTGTCACCCTAGTTCTTATAGTTTTAATTCTATGGTTAATTATGATCTATGCCTATTTGTTTTCCAGTTTTTCACATGTGAGACAAATTTTGTCCTCTAGTATTATTTTTCTCAAGAAAATCTTACAGGAATAACCCCTGATAATATAGTATGTTCTTATATTCTTAATTTTATATCTGTACTCAAATAAGCTTTTGGCTAGATATAGAACCCATGATTTATATTTTTTCTCCATATCATACTTTTTATTTTTTAAGGGTTTTGCCATAGGGTGCATGTGTTCCCCAGAAAAAGAGAGAGACAGTGAGAGGGAAAGTGAGAAATCACCCCCCAGGGGGGATGGCCATGCTGCAATCCCTTCTCCATTCTCCTCCTGGAACTTTGAGCTTGCACACACACATGCACGGTGTGACTTTCAAGCTGTTGGATCCAGGATTCGAACCATGGTTGTCCATGTGGGAATACAGTTATACAGTTTGATTCACTATCCAAATTTACCCTACATATCCCGTATTGCGATGTTTTGTTTTGTTATTTTGGTGGGAAGCAGCCTAAATAATTATTTCTTAATTTTTGAAATCAAATAATTTCACTAGGCATTATCACAGTCATGATCATTCTGACAATGTGAACTTTTAATTTTTAATATTTTAATCATTTAATGCATGCAGTAAAATGTTCTGATAATTTAGCAATGCTTACAAATTTATATTTTTATATAAATTTGCATCTTTATATTTAACCATGACCCCAACATCCCTAACATAATTTCAATGATTTTCTTCAAGGATTCCACTTATATATATGTTGGATTTTTTAAACTTGTTTTTTTTATTTCTCTTGTTCTCTCTAAAATCTTATTTTTAATTTTACTCATTTCCAGCACTCTATATGTGACACTTCATCACATCATCTCTGATTATTACATTACTATGCTATGAGCTTACTTTATTTTTTAAAAGTCATGACACTATTCAGTTCTAGTCATCATCTGTGTAATTCATCTGTACTTTGGCAGCTTTTTCTAGTGAGAGTTGTCCTTCACCTCTTATTAGAGGTTTCCCCCTTCTTTTTTTTTTGGTTCCTGGTATCTTTTCATATGTTCTAGGCTGATTCTTTTTTAAATTATTCATACTAAAGTAGTTTGGTTTTCCTTGGAACAATTAGCACATTTCTGGGGAAAATCATAGTTACTATTTAAAGACTGGGTTGTTTTTATAATTTATAGGCTCCCTTCTCTACTGTCTTGAAAGCAAACTTTTCTGTAAATAGAACTTGTGTGGTCATTCACTTATTCCTGCTTTCTCAAAAGAAAACACACACACACACACACACACACACACATACACACACAAAGAAAAAAAGTAAATTTACTTCCTAAATGTGAGAGACATATATATAGGTGAAAAACTTATTTGGCAATAGTGGCAAAGTCAAATCAGGAATTACCCTTAACACAGTTTGTCTTTGAAACAGAGAAACAGTTTTTCTCTTGTTGCTTTTGAATAATTACCAAAGGGAAGAAATGGAGATTGCTGAGTTATGTCACCATGTTCAATTAGGTATCCATCTCATCCTTTTAAAGACATTCTTGGGTATGTTACATGACAAATGTATCATGACTTTTTCAATGACCCAATACTTTATATACTTACATGGTAGAACAAGTATATAATTTACCAATAAAATATGGAAATAATAAGAAAAGTTACTCAAAAGTACTTTTCTTGAGGAGCTGTATAATTTAAAACATTTGGAACCTGCCTGAGATATAGAAAGGCAAAAAATTTACTTCCATTATAATGACTAGAAAAACCTAGACAATCTAAAATATTATAACTTTTCCTGAGCCCATCAGAGAGCTAAGATCACAGGGAAGCCTATTAGCATGAAGTTTGAGGAAAAAAATAAAAACAAAAGCATCTTCCAGGTGAGATGGAATGCAAGAACAGGCACACCTTTGGCAGAGCATCAAAGAAAAAGATACCAGATAACATAAAATCGAGTATTAAATATTTAGTTAATTTAAAAAATTTGAGAAAAGACAAGCAAGAGATAATAGGAGAGCATAAAAGCCCTGAGATCCACAGATACAAGTACAGCATCTCTTTCAGGTGTACTTGTATCTGTGGATCTAACAGATTTAACAGGTGTTACGAAGAAGACTGCACGGTGGGAGATAGAAAAAGACTCATCCTTAGTGTTATGAGCTTGGTAAAAGGGATCAGCTACCACTGTGGGAAAGTTCAGACCAAATTTCAGCAAGTTCTTTGTATCTTATGGAACTGAAGACTTAAACGATTTGAAGAGGGCTTGGAACACTGTTATTCCCAGCATATACATAAAGAACCACTGTTACTGGGGAAGAGATAGGAAAAAATCTTCTACCCTTGGGTGAAGGACAAAAAAACTGTCATGTATCCAGACCATTATATATCTCCTATCACCAGAGGAACAGGAGGATCCAGAAGGAATCATTATCTTCAAATCCTAGGGAGATAGAGCAGGCAGGAACATGGCAGCAACAGCAACAACTTGGAAGAGGTACAGACCTTTGAAGCACAAATACACAGGGGAGGCCTAAGGCTGGTAGTGGACCAGGGATAATGAGGAAAACCCTCTGACAAACCAGTCTGGATCCCAAGAACTAAGTTAATACCAGAAGAATTTGAAAGCCGTGGTCCAATGAAGATAACTACCAAAACGACAAAGTTACCTTCTGGTTAGATTTGTTGAATCCATCACAATAGTTGCTAATTTAAGTTGATAGAAATTTAAACCAAGATTTATCTCAAAGATGCATCTACACTCCTGTGTTACTGCACCATTATTCACAATAGCCAAGATTCAGAAATAACTGAAATGTCCATTGACAGAGAAATGGATAAAGAAAAATTGTGTATGTATACATTGGGGTATTATTCAAACTTTAAAAAGAAGAAAATCATACCATTTGTAACAACATAGATGGAGCTGGAAGACATTATGCCAAAAAGATCACCTCTACAATATACAGTCTATAGTTAATAATATGATACTGTACACTTAAAAACATGTTGAGGACATAGGTCTCATGGCTAAGTGCTCTTACCACATACACAGAAAAAAACCCATGTGTGCAACTTGGGCCAGCCAAATATACTGGTCATTAAGGTGATCCAGATCCCATATGGCTGACTATGGTTCAAATCCCAGTGCCAGTGGCTTGAAAAACATGCCAAGCACATGTATGTGTATGTCCTAAATCCTGACAGGATGAATAAATGAAGGAAAAAGGATTGTGGTGCTTTCTTTCCATTAAAAGGTGCCTTCTCCAATGAACACATGCACTTTCTGGAAATTTAAAAAAAAAAAAAAGGCAGCTTTTTTAGTATAAATTAGACCTCAATAAGGTAGGAAAAAATACCAAGATAAAATATGGGGGGCCCGCAGGTGGCATAATGGTTATGTCACTGGATGCCCACGTAGTCCACTACAGTTCAAGTCCCAGACCCAGTGGCTGCAAACTCATGCTGGATGCATATGTGTGCATTGCCAAAATCTCAAGAGGAGAATGGAGGCGAAGGGACTGTGGCAGGGCCATCATAGGTGGGGGTGATTTCTTGCTTTCTGCCTTTCTGTCTCTCTCTGGTGAGCACATGCGCCCTATAGCAAAAAATCTCTTTAAAAAAAGATAAAATATAAAAAAAACTAATATATGTAAAATCTAAAAGAAATTTATTTGCCTGAGATGAGAAAATGATATTTTAACACTCTTCTGAAGTAATATTTAAAATATTTTCCTTTAAAATTTTTTAAAATTTTGTGACCTTTTTATGTATATTTAATTGCATAATATTGTTTTGTGGGGTACAATAATCAAATCAAAGGTAATTCATCATCTTCAACAAAGAACTTACATTCTGTGTCTTTGAGTTGCATTCTACTAATTTTAAAAAAAATATATTGGAAAGTCCTCACCCCTATTTTTACTCTGTTGTGGTATGCCATTCCATATTTTACTTGTCTTGCTTATGTGCATTCTTGGGTCTTTTAAACATTTTTTCCTCAGTCCTTCCCCTGTCACAAAGTCTCTAGCATGTACAGTTGCCCTCTCTATGTCTCCATCTTTGAATCTTCCAGTTTCTGCCACACAGTGCATAAAGTGGAGACATTCAGTATAGTTTATTTTGGGGGGATTTATTTATTTATTTATTTATTTATTTATTTATTTATTTATTGCCGTAGTGTGTGTGTGCTCACCAGAGAGAGACAGTGAAAGGGAAAGTGAAAAATCATCCCCCCAGGGGGATGGCCATGCTGCAATCCCTTCTCCTCCATCCTCCTCTTGGAATTTTGGGCATGCACACACACGCACCTGGCATGATTTTTAAGCCGCCAGGTCCAGACATGAACTGTGTTTGGCCATTTTTTTTTTTTTGTAGAAAAACTTTTTCATGACTTTTTTTTTTTTTTGGAGAGATTTTTCACTGTAGGGCGGGTGCGCTCGCCAAACAGACAGAGAGAGACATAGAGACAGAAAGCGAGAAATCACCCCCCAGGGGGGATGGTCATGCCGCAATCCCTTCTCCTCCATTCTCTCGGGGTCTTGGGCACGCACGCACACGTGCCCGGCTTGAGTTTTAAGCCACCGGGTCCGGGATGCGAACCGCGGTCGACTACGTGGGAGTCCAGCGACATAGCCATTACGCCAACTGCTGGTTCCCTGTTTGGCCATGTTTTATAAGGCCTGGGACATGAACCACAGTTGGCCAATGGGAGTCCAACACTATAACTACCACTCCATCTACTGGCTCCAAACTATTACATTTTAATAACAGGCAAAGACTGAATATACCATGGTTCTACATATACTATAGACTCTCAGTTTCCACAAAGCAGACTAACTGAAAAAATAACAACAAAGAATTGCCCTCTCAACAACTACCTTTACTAGGGCAAGGTCTGGAAGGGAGCTATTCATATTTAGAAAGAGAATATGAAATAAAACACATATGCATGTAGTTTAAATATCACTTGCTGTAATGAGAGGTGACAAAGCAGTAGAACTTTTCGGCTTTCAATTAGTCTATTAATACTTTGATAAATGTAAGAAAAAAATAACTTTCAGTTTAACTTAAAGAAGAACTGAGACAAAAAGGACAAGTAAATTCTTTCATAAAATTCATAGAATAAAATTTAATGACATATCAATTCAGATTCACTTTAGAGAATATTTTGATGTTTGATGTTTGAAATTAGTTTGGTTCAGAGGTTGTAGGTTTGTTAATTTCAGAACTTAATTTTAACACTTCTTCAGTTCATGGACTCCAAAATCTTAAATATTAAGTTTTAGTTTCAGTAGGTGTTCATAGTTAGCACTTTTTTGAAACTTATTTTTTTATTCAATTCAAACTCAGTTTTGCAGATTTTCTCAATTAACCCTTTTTTGAGTTTGAGGTCAAGGAGTGGGAGGTTCAGTAAACTTTTATTGACTTATTGGAAATGACCTTACTAATTTAAGATACTGTTACATAAAAATGGCTTATTGTTAAACTGTATTGCTTTTTTAGTCACAGTTTAGAGGGGATGAATTTATTATTATGAGAAAATAATAGAAGCATTTTCAAAAAGATAGATAAAATAATATTAAGAGTTGTAAGCAGCAGATTCTTCAAAGTGAAGAATGCATGAAAGTGGGACAGAAAAGTCCCAGAGATAAGACAGTGAAGAGTGGCCTGCCTAAAATAATTTAAAAATACATCCCAATGAACAAATATCTATATACTTACAGGTTAGAAAATAAATAGATCAAAATAATTAGAGTTGATTAAACCTACCTGAGCAAGAGGTTTATTCTCAAATAATGTTTCATGCTGAAAGAATTTGTCCAGCCCATGCTCCTTGGCAATATGTTCAGATTCATCAGAGAAGAGGACAGCATCCCCATCAAAGGCCACACGAAGCTGTGTGTCACAGTAAGCCATGTCCTTGGCTCCATCAAACATTGTCGCTGAGGCGATACCTGACAGATTGTGAGGGTTGATTAATACTCTTCTCAGGGCCAGGGATTTTAGTTTCTACCGTTAAAAAAACAAACACAAAACATCCTCCCAGACCCTGTATTTCTTCTTTAGCTATTATCTGATGACTCAACTCTTCTTTACAACCACACATCTCAGAATGGTTGTGTATGCACTACGTCTGTGTCTATAGAGATGAGAGGGTATAAAATGGATTGTAGGACAATTTCTGAGGATCGTCGTCTTCCAGGAAGGTCAAAGCTTTAAAGACAGACTTGAAGGTTGCCATATATAAAACACAGCAGAAAACCCAACAAGAACATAACCAGATAATTATATGTGAAACCCACTGCAAGTAACCATGAGTGCAAACCTCCTTATTAACTATAGAAATAAAAACAGACTAATACCTTCTTGTATTGCTTCTTGTACTTTTTCAGAATCCGCAGACAGATACAAGTTGGTAAGATATGCCTTCAAATAGCCAATGGGGCTTTTCCCACCAGTTAGACAGAAGCGGTCAATTAGTAAGCCTGTTATCAGGCAAGAAAGAATTTGTTATGGCAGAGACTAAAGACAAAACACTGTAAATCCAAGTGGAAGTTACTGTAGGGACAATTTATTTTAAGTCCAATTAAGTTCATTTCTAATTCTACATGAAAGTTACCTTAGAAATAATTGAAGTTTTGGCATTAGTTTCACAGTATCGATATTGAAAAACTCCTCAGCTATTTATATAGTAGTGGGTATTTGGTACATTAGAGTTTATACCAAAAATTCACATAGACTGTGTACATTTGCCTTTTTAAAAACGATGACTTTTATCTTATTTTATTTATTTATTATTATTATTATTGTTTTTAAATTTGACTAGAGAGAGACACACAAAGAGAGAGAGAGAGAAAGGAAAAGTGAGAAAGCAAGCCTCCAGGCCCAGGACTTGAACCACAGACGTCCATGTGGGAGTTTTGTGCCTTAAATACCATGCCACCTACTGACCCCCACATTTACCTTTCAACATCTCTATAACAGGTATTATTATCCTCGTTGCAGAAGAAGAAACTGGGTCCTCCAGCCTATCTGATCCACTGGTTCACATACACAAGGTAGAACTTGAGCTGAGTGTTTGGCTCTTGCCTAGATTAGAATGTATTCTTTTCCTTTATCTATAGCCCCCTTACTGGTTAAAAGGGCCAGTTAAGATGTGGCTCTATTTTAAGTACCATTTATGCATTTCTTCAGTAGACATATAGTAATAATAACTAGTAGTGCTAAGATTTAAAATATTTAAAAAAAAAAAAAAACAACAAAACAACTGAAAGTGTCACTCTTTTTGACTGAATTTAAAAGCAATTTTTAGTAGACTAAACATTAATATACTAGTAAATACCACCCCGTAATCCCTCTCCTCCATTTCTCCTTGCGATTTTGGACACATTTATGTTCCCAAAGTGCTTTTATGTGTTAAGCTGCTAGGCCTGGGGCTCAAACCTCACAGTTGGCCATGTGGCATCTAACCATCTTAATCACTATGCCACAGACTGGCCTCTGGCTCTTTTTCAGACAGAATTTCCCTCTGTTGCCTAGGCCAACCTCAAGTTTGTGATCCTCTTGGTTTACAATGTTGAAGTAGCAGAGGCTACCATAGCTGGGCCCACACTTCAATTTTTTTTTCTACAGTGTGTGTGTTCTCTCCAGAGAAAGACACAGAGAGAGACAGACAGACAGACAGAAATCACTCCCCAAGCTCTGTGAATGGCTATGCTACCTACAATCCCTTCTCCTCTATTCTCCTCTTTTCTCCTCTTGGGATCTTGGGCAGGCATGCACATGTGCCCAGCGTGTTTTTCAAGCCACTGGATTTGGGACTCAAACTGTGCAGTGGCCATGTGGGATATAGCCTTCTTAAACTCCTTGCCATCTGCTGGATCCCAGAGTGCATTTCTAAAAGCAAATAATTTTAAAGTATATCTCAGTATCTTGTCTTACTGAGACATAAAAATATGATTCAGTAATACAACAATCTTCTTATAATTTGAGTAATATAAAATAAAACTCATAACTTGTTAAATATATTGATCATTTATAACTATGTCCAATTTAAACCTAAAATTTAAATATACCCAATTTTAACCTCATTTTGACTTGACATACTCACAAGACTGGGCACATTACTTAGAAAATAGGCTAACAGAGTCCCAATTAAGTAGTCAGGTTGGTTCTAATTGGGAAAATGGAGACTTGGTTTCTAACACACTTGATATTAGTAATATAAAGAGATTAGATTTGGGACCAGCAGATGGCATAATGGTTATGTCACTGGACTCCCACATAGTTGAATACAGTTTGAGTCCTGGACCCAGCATCTTGAAACTTATTCTGGGAGCATGTGCACATGTGGCCAAAATTCCATGAGGAGAATGAAGGAGAAGGGAATGCTCTGTGGCCATCCATCTAAGGGGTGATTTCTCACTTTCTGTCTCTCCATCTCTCTCTGTCTCTCTCATGAGTGCAAGCAAAAATCTCTCTCTTAAAAAAAAAAAAAGAGAGATTAGAGTCAATCAGATGTTCCAAGTAAAGGAATAAAGACAAGTTTGCTTGCATGAGTCTGGATTTGATGTGTGGGGAGAAAGAGTAGCTGGGAAGAATTGGATTTTAAGAGTGGAAAGGAGAGGTGAAAACCTTTAAACCTTTAACATGAATCTGTGGTGAGCCAGAAGTTTGATCACACGGAGAAAGCCTTTGGGTTGACGGCTCCTTGAAGTCAAGTTCAGAAGTGAAAAACATAAAACAGAAATATATTACAGGACCTGGGATTAAGACTTTGAAATTCACACTTGACAAGTTAAGTCCAGAGCTTTGAGCCCAATTCTGTGCTGAAGTTAAAAATGAACATGGCCTCTCTTGTTCTGACATAGGAAAATAAACATTCCTCACGCAGAAGGGGGTGTCAGTATCAAAGACACTACATTGGTTAGGCCACAGTTAGCAAAATAACATGGCTTCTCTCTTCCAGAGCCGCAAGCCGGTCTTCCACATGGTATTTATTTTACTTACCATAGTGATTGACGCTGTTTATAAGCCGCACTCCCACTTGGGCATGGTTATTAGTCATCAGAACAATATCAAATAAGTCCTGTTCATCAGGATACAGATCACGGAGTCTAGCATTGACATGCTGCAGTGCCTGCAGGTTACAAACATGGATGTGTGTGAAAAGAGTAGGGCAAGATGAGCAGTAGGAGGCTGGAGAAAAAGTATCTCACCAGTCAAATTCAAGCTCTGAAGACTCATCGTTGTGAGATTATGGCTCCTTTAATGCAGAGTTACGCCATTCCTTTATTTTCAGGCTCTCATATACAGGACACTAGTTAATGTGCACTGAATACATGGGTAATGTTTATTGAAAACTGTTGCAACATTCAGCTTACTAGAATGATCTCTGGGGGATAGGTAGAGAGATGGATCAGAGTAATCATTTTATGCTTTGTCTATGTATTTGTTTTTAATTTGTAAAATATGTGTTCATTGATCATCCAATGATTTTTTATTGTGAAAAATATAGAATATGTCATGAATTTGCCTGTTATTCTTGCCCAGAGACCATGTTAATGGTCTCTGTATTATTCAGCTTTAATATACACAGTTTGTTTATTTTTAGACAAAGTGGGTATTTAGACATGGATATTTAGACTAAGTTTTTGTTCCCTTTCATGCTTCTACTGTGTTCTTTAAGTACTTTCTACCCACAAATTGTAGAGCTGTCGTTTGTTTTTGCATGGTTAAGAGGTCCTTGGGTAATAGTGTAAATTATACCCTGGATCAGAGTTAAAGTGCTTTGCATTTCCTTATAAGTTCAGAGGATCTTGTCTTTATTAAAACCATACCCCTGGGGCCAGAGGTAGAATGGTAGTTGAAGAGCTGAACTCCCGCATAGCTGACTGCGGTTCAAGTTCCAGACCTGGTGGCTTGCTTTGTCACTTTCTGTCTCTCTGATGACTACAGAAAGTTTAAATAATAACAATAACAATAATAATAATAAATAAATAAAATAAAATAAGTAATTCTAGAAACAAACAAGCAAAACAAAATACCATGCCCCTAAGTGCCAAAAGCCTCTTAGTCTTGAATATGCTATGTCTGGGACCAGGACATAGTGAAATTCACCTCATTTTTCTTTCTTTTATTATTATTATTATTATTATTATTATTATTATTTTTTTTAATTTAAGGTTTTTGCCATAGGGCACATGCATTCGCTGGGGAGAGACAGAGAGAAGAAAAGTGAGAAATCACTCCCCCTGGTTGGGTGTGGCCACTTGCAATCCCTTCTCCTCCATTCTCCTCTCAGGATTTTGGGCACTCAGGCAAATGTGCCTGGCATGATTTCCAAGCCTCCTGGGCCCAGACTCAACAGGCAGTGAGCCATGTGGGAGTCCAGCACCTTAACTATCATGCCAGCTCCTGGTCCCTCACCTTGTTTTAAATAAGGGATTGTATTTCTATTAGTCATAATTGTAAACTCATTATTGCTTAGCACTCACTCTTTCTAGGTTGGGAACAAAGGCTACTGTAAAAGGTCTCAGGTTAGGGCTCCACTTATGGAAGTCCAACTTCCTGAATCTAGGGCTGTGGGTTGGGGGCCCTTCTTCAATAGTTGGGAAGCCTCTGGGTCAACTGGAAGTGGCAAGTATGACAAGGGTAGACTAGTTGTTATCAGGAAAATGTAACGAGCTTCCAGGAAATGGTTAGGGTCCTCCGTTGGCCATCCAGGGGCCTGGCTGGCCAAAGAAAGCTTGCAGAGTACCTTGACAAAACGGAATGCGGGCCCTGGGGTCAGGACGACATTCTCATTGGTGAGCTGATACTCCATGTACTTTTCCAGACCCTCTTCTTCGTAGATTTTCCTGCCGTCCACCATGTTGAAGAGTGCCCGGGAAGAGACAGCGATCGTGATGGCGTGCTTAGGTTTGGGCTGCAAACAGGGGTGCCGGTGAGGACAATCAAATAGACAGGAGGTGATCGGAGATGGGACTTATTTAAGGCAGGGTGGGAGTAAACAGCTGACCCCCTGCTTGGAGGACTCTGATGCTGGAGGCATGCCAGACAGGGATTCCCTAAGGTTTGGGGAGGAGAAGCAGGGGGATGGGGCGCCCCCTACCTGGGGGCGACGAGAGAGTCTGGGAGGGGATCGGGGTTGCGAGGAGGGATGCCCAGGGTACCAGGTTCAAGGCCCACTCACAGGCCGGGGGCGCGAGCAGCTCGGGGTCTTCTCGTACAACATCTTCACTGATGCCCAGTAGGCCTCATCCTCTTCATCTTCCTCGTGCTGCTGCTGTTCGAAACAGTCGCGGTCCAGCTGGATCGAGGTAGGGTAGAGCATCCTGCGCTGGGCGTAGGGCTTCCATTCGGAGGGAGGTGTGCGTGTACGTTCCCGCGAGTGCGAGTCCCGCGAATCCCGCGAGTCCCGCGAGTCGCAGCTGCGTGTATAGTCCCGCTGCTGTGAGTCGCGGGACTCCCGGACTTCCCGCACGATGCCGTGAGCCCAGGACTCGGGATTGTCGTACATCTTGGTGTTGCGCCGGGGAGGCTCTGGCTCTGGTGGTGTGGGAGGGCGCGAGTCCATTGGAGAGACTGGCCGGCTCGGTGTGGACTGCCGGGGCGGAGAGGGCTGCGAGGACAGCTGCTGGGGTGGCGAAGATTCGCGCTGGCTAGGGGAGACTGATGAAGTCCGGGAGGTGGTGGAGCTGCTGGGGAGCTGAAGCAAGAAAATGGGCGTCTGAATTCTAGGCCCGCCCAAGGATCCCTGTCCCCTTCTCTGTCCAGCTCTGGTCAAGGAGCCGGCCCCTTCCGTCTGTTCCCTTCCTAGACCTTAGATGGATCCTAGTTCGTTGTCTTTGTCGGCTACTTTAAACAGGACCTAGAGGGACTCAGACATTTATTTCTAGGCTCCAAGTATTTGGTTTTCTGTTGAATAGCCACTGAAAAGGCCTTTGATTTCTTGCTCATCCCCATCAGCACCTCCCTGGTTTTGAGTAGATAAGACACAGTCCTCCCTTGTATGCAGCAGACTCACAGTGTGCAAGGTCTGTCCTTTGCTGCCATATACCTGCAAAGTCAAAGGCCTTCAGGGAGGACAGGGCCTTAAATAATGGATTTTTCTTGGCTAGTGCCTCAGTGTGTGATTTCAAGTTAACTTGATGAGAAAACAGGGCCAGAAGTTATCCCCCAAAACATTCTACACAGCACCTGGGGGACGTATCTCTCATTTGCCATGTGACTAATGTGATGATGACTGGGAAGGTCTTCAGGGGAAAGAATCAAACTCCCAGTGGCCTTCAGAGCTTTGTATGCCAACTGGGAACTCAGTTAGAATCCTCTTCCTGAAATAGAATGAGGCCATGCTAGAGAAAGGACCCCTCTGCTAAGGTGTTGTTATGCTTGTTTCACTTGTGGTTCAAAAAGGATATACTTGGTTAGGTTATTGAATCAGACCTGACAGAAATAAATGGAGTGGGCAGAAATATACATTTTCTCAGTTGCTGGGTCTTTGTCCTCCTCTCTACTACCAAATCTTAACTGTGAAACTAAACATTTGTTTGCTTATGTGTCCAGGCCTGGTTAAGGGTCCTAAGGACCACCTAACATTCTTTTTCTCTTCTGGTGGTCTTCCTATCCCCTCTTTTGAGAGTCATGTGTACTCAATAAATACTGATTGAATGGTTGAAGGAAGGAGGAACAGAACAGTCTGTGGACTAGAGACTTCGGGTTCTAATCTTAGTTCTACCATTTTACTGTGAAAACTTCAGCAGGTTATCCTGTGCTTTAATTTTCTCAATGGTAAAATGGGGTTTATGGAGGGAAGGGTCTATAGAAGAAAAGGTTTATGGATAGCTAAATTAGCTAAAACATGTAAAATGCAAGAACAGAGCCTGGCACACGAAAAGCATCGATAAATGTTAACCATCATTACTATTGTTCCATCACCTATGTCTCCCTTTCATCTCTGACTCTACCTTAAGACTGGTGTTCCTGCTTCTTGGCTCATCTGCTGACGGAGCCCTGGTGGATGGGCTTCGAGATGTTCGAGACCATTGATTTCTCACAATGTACCCTCGAGAGTCTGTCTTTGGCAGTGATAATTCTTGAGATCCCTGTCAAAGAGAGAAGAAACCCAGGTATGTAATACCCCACCACCACTCCTTCCAGGCATGTACCTACAGAATAACCATGTCAGGTAAAAAATAATAGCACCCAGTGAGAGGATCCCTGGCCTCTATGACCCTTGTGTATTCTCCAGCTCTGGCCCAATTCTAACTTCTGTCTGGAGCCACAAAGTGGGGACTACTCAGAACATCCAAAATCAAGAAACAAATTAGGTAGCTTGTATCAATTCACTTGTGACTCCTCTTATATGGAACCTAGTAGAGTTGACCATCTTTCCTCCCTTTTCCCCACTTTTCCTCTTAAGGAGAAACTTGCTAACAGATGCTAAAATACATTTCCACCATTTTTATCAGACTGTAAAGGTGAAGGCAGCTGGAACCTACACAGAGTTGCAGTGGGCTCTAAGGTGGCTGCATGAAAGGGAATGGCACCCTTAAACACTCCTTTCAAGGAAAATGAATGGAGACCCAAGAGAGGCAGATAAGAAAGTGACTGTTCCCATATCTTTCCCTTCCCCCATATGGCCTGGGCTCCCCTCCAAAATCAGTAGTGTGATCTCTGCTCACCCTGATCATGGTGATCTGCTGGCCCTGTGCCCACAACAGGCACATGTGAATATAAATGCGTATTGTGCGGCAGGGGCTAGGAAGGACTGTTCCCTCAGCTGCACAAAGGCAGCGGCTTACACATACCCAACGCGAGCCGCTACGCGACGAGTGACCCCGCATGGGGCAACATCTCAGCGAGTGATTCGGATTGCCTGCACGCCTCATCTGAAAGATTGTGCAGAAAATGGTCAATGCGATGGCCAGAACCCCCCTCCCTCCCTGATTTGAACAAGACAGTTTCTTCCCATAGGCTGAGCAGAGGAGACTGCTGTAGAGCACAGATTCTATATGAATATGGGGGATGTGGACTGGAGGGGAAGGCAGGGGCCAGCTTCTCCTAGATTTTCCTTTAGGAATCCCTTAATACCAATCTCGACAGCTCAGTCTTCTCTACCCCAGAATTCCCCTGCCCCTGATATTTCCATTGCGATTTTCACTCTTTAACTTTCTCACCAAAACTATGGAGATCAGCTTACCTGAGTGCTCAGACGAACTCCTGATTTTTCAGAGTCCCTTCTTTTTTCTGCTTCTACGCTCTCTTTTGAGTTCCTCATCCCAGTCTCATTCTTAATATGGAAACAAAGAATGATTATTAATTTTTAATCTCAGGAACACTCGAAACCTTGGGTTTGGGAATAAAATGATAAAGACAATGCAGAATTTTTCTTTTTAGTTTTCCTCTTTAATATCAAAATAATACATAAACTTTAGACCTTCTCCTCCCCTCCATTTAAAAAGGCATAAGTAAAAATAGCATATCCTATATGTAAGAATTATATAAACAATCTTTTAGTATAGAAATTAGTTTATAGATTAACATTTTGGAGCATTTTGTTATTTAAAAGGTGATACCTTGGGAAATATTTTGGGAGAATTTTCCAGGGAATCAGTAGGACTTGTATTTAAATGTGAATTTGTTTACATGAAATAACTTTTTTGTTGGGCTCTTACTCTAAAGATTGGTATTTACGGAACTTTTCTTTTGCCATACAGAATGAAAACTTTCCTGGTTTGTTTTCTTAATTAATATAGCTCAAATTTTCTGTTACTCTAAGCTTCATCAATATTAGTCTTATTTATAAAAATGAGAATCTTAAACCCATACAATAAATCACACATATTTATTGACAGACCTGTCTTTTGCTTTTGTCATCTAATTACTCATAGCATCTAGAGTGAAAAGGGGTTTCATTTTTTTTTTTTTCAGAGAGAGATTTTTGCTATAGGGCACATGTGCTTGCTGGAGAGACAGAGACAGAAAGTGAGAAATCACCTTCCCTAGGGGGAGGGCCACACCACAGTCTGTTCTCCTCCATTCTCCTCTCAGATTTTGGACATACATGCACACGTACATAGCATGAGTCCAGGACTCGAACCGCAGTTGACTGTGGAAGTCCAGTGATGTAACCATTAAACCATCTGCTGGTCCTGAAAAGGGGTTTATTACTAACAGATTAATAGGGAAAAACAAGTAGGAGAACACAATGGTGAGATAATTCACTTTATGGAAACCTATTCAAATATTTGTGTTTCCATTTTCAGTTGGGGGAGATTCATATTTAAGCTTTATTTGTATTGGCTCATGCTAATTCAGTAACTTCAATGTGATTAAGAATAGTGTTATTTACATATTTAATTAGGTCAAAATCTAGGTTGGGCTCAGAATCCCCAAAGCAGTCCATATTCATCTGTTTATACTCTGTGAGTAGTACCCAATAAACACCTCATCAATGTTAGTTGAATGAAAATAGGACTGAGGAAATTGGCGTAGCTATATGGTCCTTTCACTGCTTTTCAAATCTCTCTACCAACCACTTCCCAAAACAGTTCCCATAATATCCCATGACTTCTAACTCTAAAAGATAGTTTAAGTCCAATCAATCCCCCTCTCCATCTCTATTATCATTGCTTTGTTATAGGCCTCAAATGATCATAGGTCTGCCTACATTCCTGGAAGATAGACTTTTGAGCAGAATTCATGGCCTCAAATGCTTCCCACTTCTAGTCCTGTTTGCCCTATTAATTTAGGGTTATATTTATGAAATTTAAATTTAATTATGCTTCATTCCTAGATACCTCTTTATTCACTTGGGTAGACCTAGGCGAGGAGTCTAATGATAAACTTTCATCTACTTCCACATGTTTTTTTTTTTTCAGAGAGAGATTTTTGCTATAGGGCACATGTGCTTGCTGGAGAGACAGAGACAGAAAGTGAGAAATCACCTTCCCTAGGGGGAGGGCCACACCACAGTCTGTTCTCCTCCATTCTCCTCTCAGATTTTGGACATACATGCACACGTACATAGCATGAGTCCAGGACTCGAACCGCAGTTGACTGTGGAAGTCCAGTGATGTAACCATTAAACCATCTGCTGGTCCTGAAAAGGGGTTTATTACTAACAGATTAATAGGGAAAAACAAGTAGGAGAACACAATGGTGAGATAATTCACTTTATGGAAACCTATTCAAATATTTGTGTTTCCATTTTCAGTTGGGGGAGATTCATATTTAAGCTTTATTTGTATTGGCTCATGCTAATTCAGTAACTTCAATGTGATTAAGAATAGTGTTATTTACATATTTAATTAGGTCAAAATCTAGGTTGGGCTCAGAATCCCCAAAGCAGTCCATATTCATCTGTTTATACTCTGTGAGTAGTACCCAATAAACACCTCATCAATGTTAGTTGAATGAAAATAGGACTGAGGAAATTGGCGTAGCTATATGGTCCTTTCACTGCTTTTCAAATCTCTCTACCAACCACTTCCCAAAACAGTTCCCATAATATCCCATGACTTCTAACTCTAAAAGATAGTTTAAGTCCAATCAATCCCCCTCTCCATCTCTATTATCATTGCTTTGTTATAGGCCTCAAATGATCATAGGTCTGCCTACATTCCTGGAAGATAGACTTTTGAGCAGAATTCATGGCCTCAAATGCTTCCCACTTCTAGTCCTGTTTGCCCTATTAATTTAGGGTTATATTTATGAAATTTAAATTTAATTATGCTTCATTCCTAGATACCTCTTTATTCACTTGGGTAGACCTAGGCGAGGAGTCTAATGATAAACTTTCATCTACTTCCACATGTCCTCTCTTCATGCCTCACTTTATCTTTATGTTCTACTTAGGCCAAATAACTTGTATTTGCCCACATACCACATTTATGTCCTGGTAACCTTCACTTCCCTTTCACACTCTTTAAAACCCAGCTGAGTATTCCTGCAGAATTTCCCAGCATTAAAAAGTTCCTCTGTGTTGCCTGTGTCACACACATTTTCACTGAGTGCTGAATCGTACTTTATGTAATCTCTTTCTTAGCAGTCTGTGCATTCATCAAAGATAGCAACTGTGCATGAACATATGCTCAATAAATGCTGATTTATTGGATTGACATATACTCTCTGCTCTCGTCTCCTTTTTCTCCACTCTTCATTTCCTTTATTTCTCCCCCATCCCTTTTCCTCTTCGTTAGCTATTATCTGAAGTTATGTGGTTGTTGCAGAGTATTCACAGAGGTAAACGCTGGACTGATAACTACATTTTCTCAGCTTTGTGCAAGATTCAAGAACTTTTAACTTACCTTCTTTTTCTGTTTCAGAGATGTTTGACTCATGTCTTTAACTATTGAAATTATTTTGTTGTTAATGCAGGTTTTTGTCTCCCCAGCTCCATTTCCTGTTGCTTCCCTTACTCAGTCTAGCTTTGCATTTAGAATGTCAAATTTATGACATCACATGTGATCCCATAGTAACAAACTGACTCTGGGAATATGTAACTGTACTTTGTTAAAATAAAAGCAATACTGTTAGTTCATATTCAAGTACACACATTCATAACTATTGTCAGGGATTTTAGAAATTGATACCAAATATTCATATGTAACAATATCAATTTTACTTCTTCTTTGTCAACTTTCTTTTTAAGTACTGTTCTGGCAATATCACATCAATCCTATTTGTGGCTATATATTTTCTGGTATTGTGAAAATGAATGGCAAACTAATTTGTGAACCAAATCATTTATCACTGTTCATCCTGCTAGAATTTGAAGGGCTTTTTGGAGATTTGGAGACTATTTTTGACCACTAAAATTTTATTCTAGATATACAGTTTAGGCTTGAATTTAAGTGTTTGATGTTTCTTTCAGAGCGGAAAAGCCCTTTGAGGAAGACACTGTCAGAGCTTTCTTTATGTCTGGGCACAGGGTAGAATATTCCTTGTGCCTTCTGCATGCTATTTACATCATAATTAACCCTTTGAATACTATTTGTTACTCTTGTGTAGACAGAGAGAATGTGTAAGACTCTATAACCCTGGTTTATAGAGTCCAGTAAGGTTTTGCATTTTACCATCTTTATTTTATCTTTGCCCACACTGTACATAGTAGACATATGCCATGCCAACATAGTTGGTGAAACTTCCAAGGAATAAGGCAGATTCCTATGATCCTATAACCAGTAACTTACCAGCTAGATACCATATTGCAGCAGTATTCACACTTTCATATTGTAATGATAATATGTGGGCCAATGTGATATTTCAAGTCAGGACAGCCTTAGAAAATATGGTTAAAATGGGCTTGTCCATGTTCAAGAGTGAAGAGTAGAGTGTGTGGGAGACTGTCAGGTCTAAGATTAGTCTACAAAGGGACACCTTTCCTGAGGTTCACTTAACAGACTGTGGAGAAGGGAGAAGATTCAATATTTCTTATTGCTTCCACCTACCACTTGGATTGGTTTGCTATGTGATTTTGCTGCATGACAAATTACAACAAACGTAATGTCTTAAAACAATATCTACTTGTTATTTTACATTTCTGTTAGGTGAGAAGTCCGGGCAGGCTCATCTGGATTTTCTGTTTAAAATCATCTAAGGTTGAAATGAAGGTATCAACCAGGCCAGGCTCTTATCTGGAGAACTTGGGGAAGAACCTGCTTTCAGGCTTATTCAGGCTGTTGGAAATTCAGTTTCATCTTGTTATAGGACTGCTATACAAGTTGTTGAATGTTGGCCAAAGGCACATTCTCAGTTTCGCAAGGCCATTCTCAAATTCTTGCTCCATGGCTCTCTGTCTCATTAATGGAGAACCTTCCTTGTGTTGAATACATCTTGTACTATCAAGCTCTCAGGCTCTCTCTTTTGCTATTGCCAGAGAAAACTTTGTTTTTAAGGGACTCAGATAATGAGATTATGCCCATGTGGATTGTCTCCTTTTTGATAAACTCAAAGTAAACAGATGAATAAGCTTAATTATATCTACAAAATCCCTTTGCCATGTATATTAACATTATCATAGGAGTAGAGTGACATGCCATTGTATTCACAGGGTAGAAAATTATACAAAGATGAGGATCTTTAGAGAGGAGTCATCTTAGAATTTTGTCCTCCATGTTCATTTAATTGACTTCTTTTGGGAAAGCATTCAAAATAGGGAACAAAATGAATAAAGCCCCTATATGCAAATTGGTAACCATCATTATCTATTTCAGTAAATATGGGCAAATGGGGGCTAATCAGAGTCCTTGATTTGAAGACATGTTTTGTTTTATAGGAGTATGGACCAGGGAAGGTATTACATGTGGGAGTGTTTGAGCCTGTCTTTAAGTTCCCTGGACTTTGTTGTGTTTGACTACTTTTGGAGCAGCACTGTAGTCTTTTTTTTTTTTTTTTTTTGGGGGGGTTTTTGCTATAGGGTTCGGGCCC